ATCTCATTGGTCAAACTGTCAGCTTCAATATTTTCTTCTCTCGGTCGCCACTTCAATCCAAGCGATAGCCTGGCTTTCGAGAGTGATGCCGACAGTTGCATGTTCACTGCCATCAGTGGCCACTTCGTTGTAGAACGCTTTGCAGAAAGGGCCTCATTGGCCAAATTGTCTGTGCCCGCAAACACCAAGGCTTCAAGCGACTTCCTGTCTTTGCTTTCAACCAACCATCCAAAAGCATGTAGTGCCACCAGCGTGGCAAGCAGTTCAGCAGATGTGGAAGCCCACTGTGAAGCCCCCCCAGGTTTAAAGAAGAAAGGTGCCTCTGTAGGGCCTATGCGCAGGCAGTACCACCTCTTAGTATCCAGTTCCCAACCAGCTAACACAATGTATCCATCTGCACACTTTGCGTCTGTACGGAACCTCTCCCCAGCAATGATCTTGGGTCTGTGAGTCGAGACCATGTAAGTTCCCGCTGCCAGCTCAACCTCAATGTACCTCAACGTCAAAATTCTTGTCTCGGGAAGTCTCCCCACAGTTCCTTTCGCTGTCACTGCAGACCATGCAAACAAAGGAGCCAGGTGCGGTTTCACCCACGTGATCAATTGAGAAATGAATCCAAGACGCCCCAGAAATTCTGCAAACTCCCGTGCCGGGACCACAAACGCATTGGCCCTCACTTTCGCTATCCACCGCAACAACCAATCACCTCTCCTTTCAGAAATCCCAACTTGGGATAAGTCATACCTGATGTGGTAGCCCACAAAATCAGAAGCGTAGCCACCTTTGAACTTGTGGTACCCAAAGGGAGTACCTATCATCTCATACGCCAACACCCAGACCCAAAGGTGCAGAAACTTCTGCATCCCTACGAATGAACCATGCAAGTCATCCACATAGATCATCTGCATCATCCAACGCTGATTGAAGAGGTATCCAACAAACCTCCCAAGAAGCCCCGCCAGTTTCGCCCACCAGTATGGTGCGCTTGCCACACCGAAAGTGCCTGTATGATTGACCCAAACTGTACTGGACCCAGAGTCAGCTCGGCAACAAAGAAGGCCCCAATCCCGCTTACGGATTTTAACAAGTCTGTGTGCAGCTTTGATGTCAGCGCTAACACAGAAAGGAGCTTCGCCAGTACCTGTTGCTTCACGCACAATGGATGCAATCTCTGGAGGGCCAGGACATTCAATCTTGTCTTTGTAAACAATGCTGTGATTCACCATCACCGAGTGCGTAGCATCATGCAAGGGCCTGACTGTGCCGTCTGGCTTTAAGATGGCAGCCATGGATGCTACCCGCAGTGTGTCTCCGTATTCTTGCTGCAACACCCCTAACTTTGATGGATGCATGCGCCCAAGTCTCTCCTCTTCTCTGAACTTGTCCTCCAGCTCTTTGGAGGAAACCTGTGCTGAAACATAATTCTCCGCAATTGGAATGAACTCCGTATCGTCAAGCTTCTTGCGCTTGAGCTTGGGCGGAAAAATCTGTGGAGACCGTGGTAGCGGTTTGTCAACACCAACAAATACCCCTGTTGCAAAGGAATCTTCAATATCAGTCAACCAGTGTGCATCAGGATCTTCAAAACGTTTGAGCCACTGAGAAAGCGCTCTCAAGTAGAAGGGTTGACCTTCATCCACCACTGCCGCGTCTGAAGGATCGTCCAGCAACCTAAACCATTTTGATCTCACTTCCTGCAAACATGAATCAGAAAAAGGTGAACCTTCAAGCTTGCCGGTGACAAGTTTAAATGCCTCCAATCTGATATCTTGGATCTCCCCCTGAACAGCCTCTGCAAGTATCTGAAAAGTATCTTCTGCCAGCTTCAACATGTCTGTTGTGCGCCTACCACCCCTCTTGGATGGTTTCCATCTGCAAGGGCTGCACAGGCCAAAACCATCAATGAAACCTCTGTGCACGATCCCATTCCACACTGATTGGAGCGCCTGTGTTCCCACAAGCTGACATGTCAAACTCTTCCATCTCCTCGTGAACTGCTTGGCCAAACGCAGATTCCACGTCTTTACCAGAATCCTGAACCTGTGAACCACCTTCATCACTGCTATCTACCACCACTGTTGATGCATCTGCCATTGATGGTGCAACTTGCCCCACTGTTGACGCACCTGCCATTGACTGTTCAACTTGCCCCACCTGTGGCTCTGCTGCAGGAAGGCGCTCTGCTGCAGGAAGGAACTTCCTTCTTTTTGAGGGCCCCAGCAACAACTCATCCTTAGACCCCCTACCGCAGGATGCCTTGGCATGAAGGATGAGCCCAGCAAGAAATTGGCACAACAACGGGGGATATGAAGCACTCGGAGCTGTGTTCCATTTGGCCCCTGTTCTGCCAATCAATTTCGCAGTATGTTCATGTCCACAATGCCTGGGGAGTGGACCTTTGTAGAAACCAAATTTGTCAAACTTTGGCAAAGCACAAAAACATCTAGGGTCTTCCACATCCATATTTGTCAAAAATCTCGTTGGTTTGGGAGTACTTGCTCCAAACTGGCATTGATGCAACGCGAAAGAAATTGCCCCCAACTTGGGAATGAGTTCTAAGAGCTCAGGCCACTGCCAAATCGAACCAGGCCTCTCGCCACGCACTGTCCCAAGGTCCTCTGGATGTTCAAGCAAAAATATACCTCCCGACTCTGCAGTGCATTCACAAGCTGTTAAACAACGATCAACAAATAAATTGGCCTCTTCAACTTTCAATTTGTCACGATTCTTGAGCCAAGGAAAACCTCTAGGCCATGTCTGAGTTCGCAACGGTTTCGGCCCTGGGAACTGCAATTGGAAACGGGCTCTGCTGAATGTATTGCAAGGTGGCGACACAATGAGCACCCAATCGCCTTCCTTGAGAAGACTGAAAATGCGCTCCCACAGATTTTCATCTGTTAAATCATGCTCTGGTGAACGTTCAATATCGAATTCCATCAACTCCAATTTGAAATTGCCTGACTCAGCCGCTTTCTTCAAGAATGAACCTATGTCAGAGTGTCGTTGATGCCCAGCAAAAAGGTACATTACCTTGAGGGTTGGCACCTTGCTCTCTCCAGAAGATTGCGCAGCCGTGCTGGGAGAGGCTGCAACCTCTGGCTGTCAAGCAGCTGCCTGACTCTTGGAATGCTCCACCGCTTTGTGGCTCGCATAGCAGCCCTTGACCCTGCATTGATGTACTCTTCCGCAACTTCCATCACAGTCACCAGTATTCCAAGCGAAACACAATTCACGCCCATCTGGCGTCCTCCAAGCCAAACTCAAACCCTTCAATCTTGGGTCACCTGATTTTCCCTTGGTTTTTCCTTTGAATCCCTTCCCTTTGCCCTTCTGAAACCCCGACTGCTTTCCACCAAAGGATCCAAAGCCGCCTTTGTTGTTGTAGCGGACAAACTTGTTGGGTTGTCCCTCTGGCATCGAAGCGCGCAAGGCCATAGGTGTGGTGAAGTAGGCCTCTTTGAGGTCGGGGTTCTTGATCACAGACTCCAAGGCATCAGAAAGGGAGTGCCCTGCTAAAACCAGCTTCATGGCTTCCTTCCTGAGCTTGTGCTCATAGGCCAGCACAATGGACCAGTCCGGCTTGACACGCTGTGCAGCAGCATCACTGGCAGCTGCCGGTATCTGGATACCATAAACCCGATCGCCCAAGATGTATTCTGTAAATCTTTGAAATGGAGCCGCCGTCAACCCATGTAGCCAATGCTTGGCCTTGTAGCGAGATGACATCGCCAGCCAAGCGTACATCTCTACCTTCATGATTTTCCTGTATTCTTCAGTTGACACCGGCATCTTTGCCTTTGTCTTTGTCCTGGTGACCCTGATGTGACCTGTATTGTCCACTGCTGACTGAATCTGCGAATTGGATGAAGCCTGCTTGCTCAAGATCTCGTCCAACGGTGCAGCAGAGGGCTCGTTGCACTCCGTCTCCTCCGCCTTCAGCGACAAATAGTCCGATGACGGACACTCTGAATCGTTGAGCTGACCGTGGACGGCTTCCACTGCTCTCAACATTGCTTGCCTCTCGTGGATCTGAAGGACCCTAGGTTGACCTAGCACCTTTGCTTCAGCCTTCAATTCGATCTCCTTTGCCATGTACTCTTTTGCAGTCTCCCAAGCCGCTACCACCGATGCCGTCTGAGCACGGCTGGCAGGTGTGTCACCTGGAATGGCGAAATCTTGCAAACAGGAGGTGCGTATGGAAGCTCGATCGTCTCCCAATGCACTGAATTTGCGTAATGTACCATAGTGTCTGCCGATTGCAACCTTGTTCTCCAGGCTAACACCAGATTCACCCAAAATGAACTGCATGTCAGCGTCCACATTGTCCCTTACGAACTCAAGCTGTGCAGCTGGATCCATACCGTCCCGCTTATGCGCGCTCTGTCGAGCAGGAACAGTTCCCAAATGTCTACTGAAAACAACGCAATGTTCCAAAAGGTCAGTGCAAAAAAAATTGAAACCAAATTGGAACACCCAAACACCGGATTGCCTGCAGCGACAACTCCAAAAGAACAGAAAACAGGTTAAAATGAAAACTGCAAAAGGAAATGCAAATGCAACGTATGCCACTGGTCTGAACCAATGGACACAACCTTTGTTTCTCCTGTTGCTGTTGGCACCCTGAGGTCTGAGCCAACTCATCTCAATGACAAAACATCTCAATTCAAACCCTCTTAAACGTCTGAACGTCCAATTGTCCAATTGCCAAAACGCCAACATATTGGAAGTGAACCTGTTGACCTGCCTGAAACTGCAATGCACAACATCCAAACAACTGACAACGAAATCAAGGAGAACCTGCGGACCTGCCTTGCAATCAAATTCACAACATGCACCACAAGAGAAAGCAACCACAAGACAGTCATGACAACGTTCCCACAGCAACCCTCAGTTTTTGACGGCACTCAGCACGAATTAAATCTGAAACTGTGACGCTCCCAGTCGTCTTAACGCTGGTTGCAATCTTGTCTAAACATTTCAATGCTCCCACAACCTTCGTTTCAATGACTCTCACAACGGTACCTCATCAGGATCCCCACCAGAAGCGGTTGAAGACGACGAGGCCGTCGACGATGAATCTCCACCATCGTCTCTGCCACACTCCACTCCAGGAGCATCTTTCTCTTGCATGCTTGACAAATTGAATCAAAATCATCACTAGAAATTTCATCAAGATACAGCACTTCGCAGCACCTGTCAGGCTTGACAAAGCAACCAGTCAAGTGTAGGCGTCTCAACGCAGACCTCCTTGAAATGGTAATGAAATATTTTGTGACTTTTGTTGCAACTGCTGCATCTTTCTCACAAATCTTGGCCACTGACACTGCCAATGCTGCCTGCGCTTCAAGGGACTCATCATGCACATCATCATCAAAAACCTCGAGTGGGAAAAATGCCACCAAGTGAATTGCGACCTGACCAGCTTGACAAAACAGTGTGCCGTTTCTTGATTCTGTTTGGATTGGCCCCTGCAGCCTCTGCAGAGTCACACAATTTTTGGATGGCCTCATCCTCGAAGTAAGGCTCCTCACGCCCTTCAACCAAGCTACGATTCACTGCTCGCTGGATTTTATGCACAACCTGTCTAGAAGTCCTGACATACTCTTCAGATGAAGTCATGCCCATGGTCCACCTACCAAGAAATGCCCGCTCATCCCTAGAAAAGCCAATTGCAGCAGCAATGGAAGTGAGAAAGTTTCTAGGGCAGTGGCCGCTGAAGAACGTCTCCAATCCATCTGGGAGGAGCAACGCATGAGGCATGAGCTCCCAGCCATGTGCGACCCTGCGGGGCACTGACAACATGCTCAGCAGCTTCGAGATCTCTGAGCTGAGACCTGCTGGTGTCAAGAACTTTCGCCTGATCTTCTTCCAGTCTGCAGTTGGCTCCATCACCAAGTAATCTCTTCTGTACCTGAACTCATCTGACTCCCAAATTTCAAATCCAGCACGAAGCCAATCTTCTCCAGATCTGGATATGGTGCGAAACACAAACGCAGCCACCTCTTTCTGCATTTTGTCCGGCCCTGTTGTCTTTGTCTTCCCAAGCACCAGTCTCAATCCATAGTTTGAAAGCGAGCTGCGGTGTGGTAACACAGCTTGCACATCGTCGCACCTCAATGCTCCCCACACCATGCAGAGCACTACCCATGCCAATGCCCGTTGAAACGCAGGAAGATTGACCTCCACCACAGCGAGCTCAAGAGAAATTAGCATTGCAACCGTGTACATCTCTGCAGGCTTACGAGGGGCCGACTCCGATGCAAGTTCAGCTGCCCAAGACTTGATGTGCCCTTTCCACACAGGGTCATCTGAGATCCTGCTGCCTTCGACCACTCTGCCCAGCTGCTCCAGCATCGCCAGGGTTGTCCAAAAAGATTCCGGGACGGTCTTCCCGCAACCTTCATTGACTCTGTGCTGCAAATAGTCGATGGCATCCCTGACATCCCGTGGGAAAAGGCAGCTGCGATGCGTCTCCAGCCAACGCTCGAATGGTTTCCAAACTTTATACCTGTTCTTCAGTGTGTTCCCCCTCCGTGCAGCAAAGAGGTGTACCCAACTGGCCTTTGGATCCTCAAGCGTGTTGATGAGGGAGACAACTGGCAAATCAGCGTTGATCATCACCTGTGCCAACAACAACGAGTACTTCTTGCGGAGCATCTCGAACCTCGGTGACCGAATGTCAGGAGGGTCCTCCTTGTATTTCTTGTGCTTCCTCTTTGTGTGCATCTCAAGGACACATAGAACACTCGTCTTTGTAAGCCGTTGAAACTCACCTTGAACTGCCAAATTGTCCAGGGTTGGCAACCTGAAAAGCTGTCTAGTTGCCACACATGACCTAAGCCGTTTGAGTGGCCTCTCATTGTCCCATTTCCACAACATTAACTGTGCCACTGTATCCATCCTGAGCTCTTCGACCATTGCTGGAAAACCACACGCCACCAAAGCAGCGCAGTCCTCTTCCTCCTACACTATACTATGTGTCAGGGAGGTGGAGGATCGCAGGGTGCGTTGTCAAAGGAAAAACCAAAACAACAAACAGTTTCACACAAGAAATCGCGAGACATGAAAAGAACTGCACGGCTGAAAACTCCATCGACCACAAACTGTTGACATGTCTGAAAAACTGCTGCTTGAAACCGGACTCACTCTTTTTCAGGTGGTGGTGATGTCCTGCGCTATCCGTTCAGACAACATTTGCTGTCAACGTAACGTCAAGGATTCAACTCCACATTGCAAATGTTGGATCGCCCCAACATCAAAGTATTTCCAGGAATGCAAGTGCCAAAACGTCAATGCACTCCCCCAGCGCAGGGATCACCCATACCCAAATCAGGGCATGGGAGGGTGGGTGTCCAAATTTCAGAGCCTGTGCTGCACGTAAAATATTGAGTGAAATTCCAGTTGAAGTCAAATCTGCAAAACGATTTGCGAAGAAGCCAGAGCTGAACAGTTTCACCAGTTCCAAAAACTTCAGTCACTTGTTGAAAACGACATGTGAAAAACCAAACAGCAGCGAAAACGTCACAACGTAAAAGACCAGCTGTAAAACTCTTCTCAAAAGCAACTGTACCAAAACGCATCGATCCATCCAACAGTTAATACCAAAAACAGCAACTGCAAGAGGAAAACCAAGTTCACCAGGTTGATCCAAGTTTGTGAACCCAACTACACAAGCCACATCTCACGAACTTCGCCAGAAGGGCCACCAAGGCCAGGAGGAACCCACCCACCCACCCAACACATAGTACCGTATAGACTCACGGGCACGCCCTATGAAGCCTACACTATACTATGTGTCAGGGAGGTGGAGGATCGCAGGGCGCGTTGTCAAAGGAAAAACCAAAACAACAAACAGTTTCACACAAGAAATCGCGAGACATGAAAAGAACTGCACTGCTGAAAACTCCATCGACCACAAACTGTTGACATGTCTGAAAAACTGCTGCTTGAAACCGGACTCACTCTTTTTCAGGTGGTGGTGATGTCCTGCGCTATCCGTTCAGACAACATGTGCTGTCAACGTAACGTCAAGGATTCAACTCCACATTGCAAATGTTGGATCGCCCCAACATCAAAGTATTTCCAGGAATGCAAGTGCCAAAACGTCAATGCACTCCCCCACTTTAGTGACGTGTTGCGCACTAACATCACCACGCCGATTTCTCAAGCTTCCTTTTCTTCCCACCAGGAACTGTCTTTCCCAAATTCTTTGCCTCAAGCCTGGCTTCGTCAAATTGTGCTTTGGTTTTCCACAAGGTCTCGACGATGCAGAGATCGATGTCAGAGAGAGTCACTGGAACCCTGTCACTTTCAGAAAAACCTGCAAATTCCTCGTTCGTGAGGTTGTCAGCTTCAACGTTTTCCTCCCGAGGTCTCCACCTCAGATCTAAACTCAAGCGTGCCTTTGCTAAGGAGGAAGATAACTGCATGTTGATCAGCATTAGAGGCCATCTGGTTGTGGACCTCTTGGAGGTGAGCGCATCATTTGCAATATTGTCTGTGCCAGCCCTCAACGCAAGGGTAACAGTCTGCCGAGTCGTGCCCTCCTTAAACCATCCAAATGCCTGCAGTGCGCACAAAGAAGAAAGCAATTCAGCAGAAGTGGATGCCCACTGAGAGCCCCCCCCCTCAGCTTTGAAAAGGTAGGGGACCTGAGTCCTATCAAGCTTCAGCGAAAACCACCTGCGTGTTTGCAATTCCCATCCACCAAGTACAACATGTTCATCTGTGCATTTTGCGTCTGTCCGGAATTGTTCCCCGGAAAAATAAATTGGCCTCCTTGCAGAAACTCTGAATGTTTCACTCTCCATTTCCCCCAGAATATAAAGCAGGGTCAAGATGACAGTATCCGGAAGCTTCCCAACCAGCCCCGGCGTCGCAACAGCACTCCAAGCGAACAATGGTGCCAGATGCGGCTTGAGCCACGTCAACAATTGAGCCACAAAACCAAGGCGGCCAAGGAACTCACTGAACTCCCTGGCCTGAACCACAAACTTCTTCTCTATCAACGCCTTGATCCAATTGAAAAGCCACATCCCCCTCTTTTCAGTAATGCCAACTTCGCATTTGTCATAACGCAAATGGAAACCAACGAAGTCAGATGAGAAGCCTCCCTTGAACTTATGATACCCAAAAGGTGTCCCAATCACCTCAAACGCAAGGAGCCAAACCCAGAGCATATCAAACTTCCATCGACCTGCAAATGCTCCATGCAAATCATCCACATAAACCAAATGCCAAAACACTGTTGTCTGCATCACATGTCCTACAAACCGCCCAATGGCTGCAAAAAGCTTCGACCACCAGTACGGAGCACTTGACACTCCAAAAGTCCCAGTCTTGTTGATCCAAACAGTTTCGGATAAAGAATCCGCACGACAGCAAATATAAGGCCAGTCAGCTTCTCTGATCTTCACCAAGCGATGGGCTGCCTTGATGTCTGCTGATACACAAAAGGCTGCTTCCCTAGACTCCACCGCCTCCCGTACTACGGCGGCCACCTCTGCTGGGCCTGGGCATTGTAGCTGATCCCTGTAAACAATGGAGTGGTTGACCATGACTGAGTGGGTGGCGTCGTGTAATGGACGGACTCCACCATCCGGCTTGACAATCGCCGCCATTGCTGCGACTCGCAGCTTATCACCATACTTGGCCTTGAGAACTGACATTCTTGAAGGTTCCATTCGGCCAAGTGCTTCTTCTTCTCTAAATTTCTCCTCCAGCTCCTTTGAAGAGATCTGCCCAGAAACGTAGTTGTCAGCAATTGGATTGAACTCAGTTCCATCCAACTTCCTATGCTTCAACTTCGGTGGAAAAATTTGCGGTGACCTGGGCAATGGGGCGTCCACTCCAACGCTAACGCCAGTAGCGTACGAGTCAGTATCACTCACCAAAAACATCTGGATCACCAAAAACTTCCAGCCACTGTGCCAACATCCGTAGAAAGAAAGGCTGGCCCTCATCTCTAACCAACGCATCTTCTGGATCCCTCAGCAACATGGCCACTTCCCCCCGCACTTTGTTCAGCACCTCTTCAGTAAAAGGAGAAGATTGAATTTTGCCAGTAACCAGACGAAACGCATCCTTCCTCACATCTTGCATCGACTCCGTAACTGCTGACTGTAAACGCTTAAAGGTCTCGGCCGCCAACTTCTTCATTTCAACAGTGCGGTTATGCCCCCTGGAACGGGGATGCCATCTCGTGGGAGAGCACAACCCAAAACCATCTATGAGGTCGTGAGATTTGCCATCCCATTCCACTTTGATCGGTGGCCCATGATTTCCACACCTTGCTACATCAAACTCTTCGGCATCGATTGGCAAATCAAGGGGGGTGGCCGCGTCCTGAGCATCTCCAGTCAAATCAATCGTGGGAGGACCAGGAGTAGTCGACACTTGTTGCACCGAACTTGAACTCCCGGCTGCTGCTGTTTGTTGAACAGAACTTGAACCACTCGAAATTGTTGATTGCTGTGGACCACTCGATGTTGCTGGGTGTTGTACTCCACTCATTGGCACACTTCGGGAACTTCCCTTACCAGAAAATTTGCAGGAACTTCCATTGCTAGAGCCAGCCTGTGGAACTTGGGAACTTCCCTCACCAGAAATTTTTCCGGAGCTTTCCTTGCCAGAAGCAGTCTGTGTAACAAGGGAACTTCCCTCATTGCCCTTTTGGTTCTTTGTCCCCCTCCCGCAGGATGCTCCAGCATGAAGGACCAAAAGTGAAAGGAATTCACATAAAGCAGGGGGATATGAAGCGCTTGGACTGGTGTTCCATTTGTTTGCAGTCTTACCCAAAAGTTTGTGCTTGTGTGTGTGGCCACAAGACTTCGGTAAAGGTCCTTTGTACAAGCCTTGTTTGTCAAAACGCGGTAAACCAAAATGGCATCTTGTGTCTGTGACTGCAAACGTACCCAGGAATCTTGTTGGTTTGGGAGTCAAAGCCCCAAAGCGACATTGTTGTATTGCAAAAGTGCAAGCGCCACATGAAGGAATGAGGTCAAGAACTTCTGACCATTGCCAGATGGATCCAGGCCGCTCATCTTTGACAAGTCCCAAGTCTTCCGGATGCTCGATGATAAATTTGCCACCCGCAGCATGACAGATGATACAGGATTGAACGCACCTGTCAACAAACATGTTGGCCTCTTCCACAACTGCTTTGTGATGCTGAGCCAGCCACGGAAAACCACGTGGCCAATTGATGTTCCTCAAGGGTCTTGGACCCGGCCAATCCTGAAAATGAAACCTTGCCCGTGAAAAGGTGTTGCACGGAGGGGAAAATATGAGCATCCAACCCCCCTCTTTGAGGGTGTTCCATATGTCTTCCCAAATGGACAGGTTTGTAAGGTCATGCTCTGGTGAAATCTCTATGTCAAACTCCTTGAGAGTCAGTTTGATACGGCCTGCATCGTGGGCCTGCTGTAAAAAGGAGGCCACATCCGACTGACGCCTCTTCCCAGCAAACAAGTACATCACTTTCACTTCGGGAGGCGATGCATGAGATGGGTGCGGCTTAGAGCTGGGGTCTTCAGTGCCACACCCCACTTGTCAAGTCGAACCTCGACTCTTCTCTCTATGTTGAATGGCTGGATGATCGCCATAGCACCCCTTGACTCTGCACTGATGTACACGATTGCAACTATTGTCACATGATCCAGAGTTGTATGCAAAACACAGGTCCCGACCATCGGGTGTCCTCCAAGCAAGCTGCAGACCTGCAGGCCTCGAATCTTTTCCCTTTGACTTTCCAGTTTTTCCCTTTCCTTTCGAAGCCTGCTGTCCTGACTTCCCTCCAGAAAAGGAACCTTTGCTATTGAAACGAGGCCATTTGTTCTGTGGAACATCAGCTGTTGCAGCACGCAATGCAACAGGCGTCGTGAAAAATGCTTCTTTCAGGTCAGCATCCTTTGTACCTGCACGCAATGCATTGGCTAAGGTGTAGCCCTCATTGATCACCAGGCGCATGGCTTCTTTTCTCAGCTTGTGTTCAAATGCTAAAATGATCCCCCAATCAGGTTTGACCTTCTGTTGTGTTCCATCTGCAGCTGGAATCTGTATTCCCAACACTCTCTCTCCCAAAATGAAATCGACAAATTTGTTGAAATCCGATGCCTCCAGACCATGAAGCCAATTCTTCGCCCTGTACCGTGCTGACATGCACAACCAAGCAAACATTTCAACCCTCATGATCTTTCGATATTCCTCAGTGTTGCTGGGCATCCTGGCTTTGTTTTTGGTCCGAGTGACCCTCAAATGCCCTGAAGAATCCACTGTTGACTGAATATGTGAGCTTGCATTGTCTCGTTTACTGATTATTTCGTCTAAGGGTGAGGCCACTGGCTCGTTGAGCTCCGTCTCCTCCGCTTTGAGTGCCAAGTAGTCTGAGCTGGGCGTCTCAGACTCACCAAGACAACCATGGATCCTTTCAACAGCACGAATCATTGATTGCCTCTCATGAGACTGAAGAATCTTTGGCTGGCCTAAAACCTTTGCCTCGGCTCGTAATTCAATCTCTTTCGCAACAAATTCTTTTGCTGTTTCCCATGCCGCCACAATTGAAGCTACCTCAGCCCTGTTCTCAGGGGTATCTTGGGGAATTGCAAAGTCCTGCAAACAAGCTGTACGAATCTGAGGCCTGTCGTCACCGATTGCATTGAACTTCCTAAGGGACCCATATCTCCTTGCCAGATTCACTCAGGATAAACTGCAAGTCTGCATCCATGTTCTGAGAAATGTATTCCCTATCAGCTTCATCTGGGTCCACGGCCATTGCACCAAGGGACGGACGTACTGTCCAGGCACTATGTGAATTGACACCAACCAAAGTGCAATGCCCAATGAACAACTTCCCAAACAGAATGAAGAATGAAAATGAAAACAGTGAAACGTTCAACAGAGGCACCCTTAGGTCTGAGCCATCTGTAATGAACTTGACATCTAATGAAGTGATCTGAATCACCCACATGCCAAGTCATTGAACCGTGATCGACATCACGTCACCCTGAGGTCTAAAGCCAGAATTTCGGACATCACCAATGTAACCATCTGTCCAGACTGTCTCAACAGTGCCTGCCCAAGTATTTTAATGCACAAACTTGACTGAGGTCTTCACCAATCTCTGATCGAGAAAGATAAACAGAATCACGCAAAATCAACACAAACTTTTCGAAGCAGCCAGCAGGTAACGAAAGTTGAAACAAACAAAGGTCTGAACCCATTGACGGCAAGCCTGACATTGCTCCTTTGGCAACACGTCGGCAACTTAGCCTGCGACGTCATCTGCACTTCCTGTGGACGACGATGATGCCGTCGAACTTGACTCAGGATTCACATCCTTCCCGTTCTCAGCTAACATCTTCCTCTTGCATGCTCTGCAGATTGAGTCAAAATCTTCATTGGTAACTTCGTCCAACATACGGACTTCAGTGCAGTTGGACGGCTTGACAAAACATCCAGTGAGGTGTAACCTGCGAAATGCTGTGCGCCTCGAGGTGGTGACAAAGAACTTTGACTGCTCTTTTGACGTAGCCTCATCTCTGGTTTTCTGATCCAGGATGTTCGCAGCCAACGTAAGCTCATCCTCTTCGTTCTCACCAATTTCGAACCAATCATCTGGCAAGACCTCCAAAGTGGGGAATGTTCCCCCAAGACAAAATTTCCCAGAGAGGCTGGAGCACACCATGTGCTTCTTCCGAATCCTGTTGCGGTTGGCCCCAGAATCTTCTGCGGCCTTGCAAAGTCTGTCAACCGCCTCATCTTCAAAATATTCCTGATCCAAGCCTGTCACAATCGATCTGTTGACAGCCTTTTGTATGGTGAACACCACCTGACGCGATGTGCGGACATACTCCTCTGAAGCTACCATACCCATTGCCCAGCGGCCCAAATATGCCCTCTGGTCCTTGTGGAACCCGATGGCGGCTGCCACAGATGTCAGAAAGTTCCGTGGACTGTGTCCCGTAAAATGGGTTTCCAGTCCATCCGGTAGCAGCAGCCCTCCGGTGTTTGCCACCCACATGTCACCCTGCTTCCTGGGCACAGGTAAATCGCTGAGCAGCTTGCTGATCAAAGAACTCAATCCTGATGGTGTCACAAACTTCCGCTTCGCTGAAGTCCAGTCTGCTGTGGGCTCCATCACCAGAAAATCCCTCCTGTAATTAAATGGCTCATCATCCCAAAGTCTGTAACCAATCCCAAGCCAATCCTCTCCAGTCAGTGAAACAGTTCTGTAAACATGAACCGAAACCTCCTTCTGTATCTTGTCAGGGCCCGACGTCTTTGATTTGCCCAGCACCATGCGTAGCCCGTAATTGGACAATGTTGTCCTGTGAGGCAATGTTGACTGCACGTCATCGCACCTCATGGACCCCCAAATCATCACAAGCACCACCCATGCCAATGCTCTTGAGAACAGGCGTTGGGAAACATCTGCAACAACCAATTCCAAAGAGAGCAACATTGCAATTCTAAACATCTCTGCAGGTTTGACCGGCGGGGAGTCAGCCGCCAGCTCTGCTGTCCACGCCTTGATGTGGGCCAGCCACAACTGCTCATCCGACAATCGCTCCCCTTCAGGAACTCTACCAAGTTGCTCAATCAGTGTCAGTGATGTATGGAAACTTTCAGGAATCGTCTTACCACAACCTTCATCTACACGATGTTGAATGTAATCTATGATGTCTTTCAACTGGACAGGAAACTTGCGACCAAAGTGAAGTTCCAACCAGACTGCAAATGGTCTCCATGACTTGTATCGATTCTTCAGTGTATTGCACCTCCGAGTTCCGAACAGATGGACCCATCCCTGCTGAGGATCATCCAAGGTTCTGATCAATGCCACCACTGGCAAATCAGCATCAACAATCACTTGAGCAAGAAGTGATGTGTACTTCTTCCGTTCAACGTCTGCACGTTTCGCTTTAGATTCAGCTTCTAGCCTGTGAATCTTCTGTCGCTTCTTTGTATGTGCTTCAATCAAAGAAACCACATTGGTCTGAACCAACCGCTTGTAAACATCTTGAACTGTGTGAGGCCCCGACTGAAGTGGAAGAAACATCACATGGTCTACAACCTGACGCCTGGCACGCTTGCATGACCTGCCATTGGCATCCTGGCCCAGACCTGGCCACTCCAATGCCATGGCATGCCCAAACTACCGTCCAACCCTGGTTGGATGCAGCGCGCCCCTACCTGTCCAAATTTCAGAGCCTGTGCTGCACGTAAAATATTGAGTGAAATTCCAGTTGAAGTCAAATCTGCAAAACGATTTGCGAAGAAGCCAGAGCTGAACAGTTTCACCAGTTCCAAAAACTTCAGTCACTTGTTGAAAACGACATGTGAAAAACCAAACAGCAGCGAAAACGTCACAACGTAAAAGACCAGCTGTAAAACTCTTCTCAAAAGCAACTGTACCAATACGCATCGATCCATCCAACAGTTAATACCAAAAACAGCAACTGCAAGAGGAAAACCAAGTTCACCAGGTTGATCCAAGTTTGTGAACCCAATCGCTACACAAGCCACATCTCACGAACTTCGCCAGAAGGGCCACCAAGGCCAGGAGGAACCCACCCACCCACCCAACACATAGTACCGTATAGACTCACGGGCACGCCCTATGAAGCATCGAATGCTGCATCAAGCAGTAGAGGAGACGGATACAGAATGCGTAAATGACTCAACACTCCAGGGTCAATTGCAGGCCACTCAACATGGCAATCCATCTACCATGAAAACTACGTCCAATCTTGATTGGATAGTGAAACGCCACAGACTACCTGAAAATTCCTTGACAGTCAAGGCCTCGTCGAAATATAGAATTGACATCTTCCAGTGAAGTAAAATCTCAAGAGTGACATCAAAGTGAACTGTTTCCAACTGAAGATGACAGCAAGCTCTCTGTTTCAACTCACGTTTGTACAACGACTGCAACCAAGTGAAATGAAAGCACTGCAAAACATTTCAAGTGATTGACTGTTCAAAACCACATGTTGCATCCAGAAACTCTCCAAGTCAAAATGAAACGTGGCAGCAAAAATTTCAAACTGAAATAAATGAACCTTCGCTACCGCCACAAACGAACCCATTTAAGACTTCCCAGAGACATACGTCACCCTTCTCAACAGCAGCTACTGAAGTGACACCAGTCCATAAACATAAGAATTGAGTTGCCGCGAACCTGTACTGTAGAAACATCAAACTGAAGAAACTCAAAGGCAGGGAGAAACCAGAGAAGAACGAGGCCAACTAGGCCAGAGCACCACCCACCCACCCGACCAAAACTGTGCTTCACATAGACACACTGTGCAAGCCCAGTGGAGCGAGTCTCTCTTTTCTTGATTGTTAGGCTCATCTGTTACACGTGTAGGGCTCCCTTCATCTGAAGAGATGTCTGGCACCGTGTTCAGCAGTTACCTGCTGTCTTGCGGTGTCATCAGAACCCATCACATGATCATACAGATCCACCAACAGCGTCATGCGTTGTGTAAAGCCATTAAGTGCTCTGGAATTGTTCCCATTGGAAATGGAATCTTCACGTCGACGGAAGCACCTCTCAAACATCCATGAAATCAAAGCTTCAGGACTGAAGGCAGGAAAGTCTGGAAGACCATGACAACTGGACTCTGTCTCAGCCTCGCTGCAGGACATCTCCACAGAAGTCAAATCATCATCATCATTGCTGACCAAAACTTCATTGTGAACCGGCTGATCATTGCGCATCCATAAGAACACCATGTACAAAGTCAGCAAGGTGATCCAGCTGGTGACGATGGTTGCCTGCACAGTCGATCCTTGAAAATTGCAGTCCATGGCTACACTTGGCACGTCCGACCCTTTTTTTTTTCCGTCCAACGCCTTGTGGCTCTCGCCAGGTCGCTAATCAAGCCGGAAAGCTAATGCAGATTGGTAAATTCAGCGAATTAATGCAATTGCAACATTCTCAAATGACAATGTGCACCAAAAGCACTTGGCACGTCCGACCCGCAACCCTGAAGAAGCAAGCAAGGCGCCAATCAACATGTTGATCTGATATCCGGAAGCGCTGTTCTGCTGAGGTTTGAGGAACATTTCTGAAAATTCGACCTGGGTCATGTTGTCCCACAAGGCTGTTGTTTCCACTGTCCCAGATACCAAACAAATACAACAGTGATTGCAACCTGCTGATGCTGAGTCTTTTGGTGGCTACGTCAGATGGGTTGGCTCCTTCGTCTGCTTTAACCATCAACAGTTTTTCACCAACCACGTTTTGAAGCCAAAGGACTCGACAACTGACATGACGCAGACGACAAACTCCAGAAAGAATTCCACGTTCTGCTGATGAGTCGATGTACAAACACATGAGCTACGTTTTGTTAATATAAAAGGGTTTTTATAGAGTGTAAACTGGATGTTGCTTTTGGTGTGGTTTTACCTGGCTGGCGTAAGGATTGCGTAGGATTGGCGTACGCATTTTTCAAGGTTCCAAATATCTTCTGGTTTGCGTAGGCAACAGCCCATTGTATTTCAAATGCTCGTGCATGATCGGCGTTGGAATCTCACGCTTTAAGATTGATTCAATGTTATCCACCAAAGGTTCAAAGGCACCGGGTTCATTCATGGATAGTTGTCTATACGAACAAACCGTGGAACTTGCCCGGAAGAGCAGCTATACAAAGGCAGCGGAGCAGCTTAAACCGTCTTGATGTTCTTCGCTTTCCACCTGCTTGTCCATATATGCTCTTGCTTAAGAGGAATGTTTCACCAGATTCCTGCCAGGAGGCCCCTGGAACAGGCGTAGGCTTCGCGTAGACTTCGCGTACAGTTGCCCGTCCGGTCGCCATAAGCCACAAAGTTACAAGGAAACCAAAACATTGCACTTCTGCAACCCTGATACAAAAAACTTAAAAAATGAACCTAAACACGGTCCCAAAAATGGGACCGCCTGGCGGTCCCATTTTTGGGAACACATGTGCAGCTTAGTAAAAGAAATGAAGAAAAGCACTTTCACGGTCCCATTTTTGGGACCGTCTGGCGGTACCAAAAATGAGACCGCAAAATCGCAAAATCCACAGCAAAGGCCGACCCGTGCAACAAACAAAAAATTACAACTGCGTTTATTTAAGCAACCAGCATATAGAGTTGGAACAGAGGAGGCCCGCACATGCGAAGCCTGATTTCACTTGACTTTCCGGCCCCAGAAATGGAACCTGAAAGCGCACATGTGGTATCAGATGTGGCGATTTGCGATGCAGCACCACCCAGGCAACATTCACCAATCCTTCGCTACTCCGCGCTACTCCGCTACTCCGTGCTATGTTTGAATTCAATTACCCAATGTAATTGACACGATATCGAAACGATGGCGGAGTAAGAAAGCCTTCAATACGTCACCTTGCCACATATTTTCCTAAGCAGATTCCTACTCCATCCCGTTTTAAATTAATACTATTAATTAATAACGGGATTGACTGAAAAGATCATGATTCATGTTCTTTCTGGGCTGAAAACTTCGGTAGGAGTCTAGAGGGGCAAGGGGGGCCGACAAGGGGCAATAAAGTATTCAATACAATCATTCAAATGGAAGCCGGCCACCTGCGCGAGCAAGAAACACTTCAAGCAATCACCTAAGGCTGCAAAAGGCTGATGCGCCTTCTTTTAGCAGCAAACAATCAAGCCACCAGACGCAACGAAATAATAAGAAGCTAACTTCAAGTGGGTTCAAGCAGCAACCGATATGCACCCCGCTTGCCACAACAAGAAACAAAATCATCTACAAAACTGCTTGCTCCGACGGACCCAATTCTGGGTCCGGAAAACCTTCTCAAAACCGGCTTCGCTCAAAAGGGCCTCCCTAGTTGCCCGTCCGGTCGCCATAAGCCACAAAGTTTCAGGAAACCAAAACATTGCGCTTCTGCAACCCTGATACAAAAAACTTTAAAAAATGAACCTAAACACGGTCCCAAAAATGGGACCGCCTGGCGGTCCCATTTTTGGGACCACATGCACAGCTTAGTAAAAGAACAAGAAGAAAAGCACTTTCACGGTCCCATTTTTGGGACCGTCTGGCGGTACCAAAAATGAGACCGCAAAATCGCAAAATCCACAGCAAAGGCCGACCCGTGCAACAAACAAAAAATTACAACTGCGTTTATTTAAGCAACCAGCATATAGAGTTGGAACAGAGGAGGCCCGCACATGCGAAGCCTGATTTCACTTGACTTTCCGGCCCCAGAAATGGAACCTGAAAGCGCACATGTGGTATCAGCTGTCTCCGTTCCCAGCTCCAATGCGGCGATTGCAATGCAGCACCACCCAGGCAACATTCACCAATCCGTCGCTACTCCGCGCTACTCCGCTACTCCGTCGCTACTCCGCGCTACTCCGCTACTCCGTGGTATGTTTTAATTCAATTACCCAATGTAATTGACACGATATCGAAACGATGGCGGAGTAAGAAAGCCTTCAACACTTCACCTTCCCACATCTTTTCCTAAGCAGATTCCTACTCCATCCCGTTTTAAATTTATACTATTAATTAATAACGGGATTGACTGAAAAGATCATGATTCATGTTCTTTCTGGGCTGAAAACTTCGGTAGGAGTCTAGAGGGGCAAGGGGGCCAACAAGGGGCAGTAGAGTATTCAATACAATCATTCAAATGGAAGCCGGCCACCTGCGCGAAAACCCACAAACTCCTCAACAGCAAGAAACACTTCAAGCAATCACCTAAGGGCTGCAAAAGGCTGATGGGCCTTCTTTTAGCGGCAAACAATCAAGCCACCAGACGCAACGAAATAATAAGAAGCTAACTTCAAGTGGGTTCAAGCAGCAACCGATATGCACCCCGCTTGCCACAACAAGAAACAAAATCATCTACAAAACTGCTTGCTCTAACGGACCCAATTCTGGGTCCGGAAAACCTTCTCAAAACCGGCTTCGCTCAAAGGGCCTCCCTAGTTGCCCGTCCGGTCGCCATAAGCCACAAAGTTACAAGGAAACCAAAACATTGCGCTTCTGCAACCCTGATACAAAAAACTTTAAAAAATGAACCTAAACACGGTCCCAAAATGGGACCACCAGGCATGCGCAGCTTAGTAAAAGAACAAAAGAAAAGCACTTTCATGGTCCCATTTTTGGGACC